AATACTTTATTAATTAATAATAATATAAAGTTAATTAATTTATATAATTATAATCTATATTAAAAATTAAAAACATAAAAAATATAATAACAAAATATTATAAAAATTGAAAGATCAAAACTGAAAATATTAAAAGGTTAAAACTGAAAAATAATATATAGGAGGGGGTATAGAAAATGTAAGGGAAGAGTGTAGGAGGGGGTGGGGTTAGAAAACCCCTTTTGTTATTTCTTAGCAACTACAAAACATATAAATTAAAATGGATACAAAAAATATAAATTAATTATTATAAAATAAACTTTATTTTCTTTTATTGTTTTTTAACCATTATATTTGTTTATTGTATTATAAAAATATATTTTTGTTTTAATTTTTCATATGTGTTAACAGAAGATATAAAATAACAAGTTAAAATTAATATAGACAAATGAAGACTAATAAATTATATTTGATTTTTTTATAATTTTATTGTATAATATGAAATTTATATAATAATATATAAATAAACATTACATTTTGTATATTAAAAAAAATGAGAAGTGAGTTTTTTTTTTGCACACTGCATTCACAAAAAGTGGAGTGATGGTGGTTGGATGTGTAGGAGACAAAGGAGAGATGAGTATGGTTGTTGATTTGTCCCGATTCGACGGGGAATGCGGTTCATCCGATTCAAACAGGGACGGGGATTCCCCGTTAAAACAGGTCTCGGAATCGAGGCCAAGGATCCCTGGTAGACTTAAATCGGGATTGGGGACGGGTAGCGTATCCATCGACTCGCCCCGTACCCGGTATATAATATTATCAATATATTTTATATAATTTATGTATATATATATATATATTATCTTATAAAATTAGGTCTTGACCAGAAACGAGGATCGAGGTTTGACCAGGATTTGATCTGGAAAATAAATCGGGGTACCAACTGGGAACCGGTGCCGAGGCCAGGTCCGTTTATAGAAACCGGGACCTGGGATTAGAAAACTCGCTCTATCCTCGTCCCATTACCACGCCTAGAGGTGAGAGATAATTGGAAGGAGAGGGGGAATTTATAAATACTCATTTTTGAATTTTTTTTTGTGATTCAAAATTATCAAAATTAATAACTTCGTAATTTGTTATAATTTTATAATTTATATAAACATTATGTTCTTTAATTTTGATTAATTTCTCTTAATTTCCACGTCATACAAAAGTTCCATTTTTGTTACTAAAATAATAAGTGATTTTTTTATCGTTTATGTTTATTATATTTATATAAAAAGGTGACCATAAACAAAAGTTTTCTAGAAGCACTTCTTCGAAAACTTACCAAACGGGTCTAAAAGTAGTTCAACCACCATCGAACCAACCTCGTTCGGTAACCCGTGTCTATCGGGGAAGAAATAATTGATCAACAAGGTCGTAATCGACTGTTTAAAGCGTATGAACTTGTACATTTTTAGTTAAAATCCACAGTAAACTGTGTTTTTCATCCCTGTGGTTTCTTAAAAGATCGCGACTTTCATTCATATGTTTTCGAAGTTACGGTTTACGATTTTCGTTCATGTGGTTTTGAGGCTAAATTTGTTAGTGTTTCATGTTAAATATGGGAGACGAAAACAACAATTAATTGTAAACCAAATAAACGAGAACAACAATGAATTTATAAACCACGATGACAGAAATCATCTATACTATATTATAAAGCATTTAACAAAAACTCTTAAAAACCATTTTTTATGCATGAAATACTTTATTGATGTATATTACTTAAAACTTAAGATTACAAGTACTTTTACGTAAATACAACTTATTAAAGCTCTATTTTTAAATTTGTGTAACTACAGATAAACATAATCAAATACAAGATAAACATCCATTTTAATTATAGAAAATCTAATATATAATTAAGATAATCATTGAGTTCTAACAAAATACTTGATTATTATCTTTATAAAATATTATATTATTAAACAAAAATTAAAAAAAATGAATTAAAGAAAAATAAAAAAAGAGAACTTTTATATAGTTAGTTTGGTACTAATATAAAAAAATCTTTTTTTATGATATATATTCATGTTTATATTTTATTCAAAAATAAAAACATTATCGTTTTTTCAAAACCACATAAAACTATATTGTAACATCGACTGAGACAAAAAAAATGTAACATTAAAATCGAAATATATCTCACTACATTATACGAATATCATTTTATTAATTTTAAAAACATATGGACAGAAATAGTAATTTTCAACAAACCAAAAAGAGGAAAAAGTGTAGTCTACTCTAAAATCTATGTCGATTGGTTTAATAATGATGAATCCACTGTTGTGTTTAATGTACGTTTTAAACTTATAATAGAAAATTTGAGTTTCTACCGTTAATTTTAGGTGAAATATCAAACTCGTAGAGTAACTACGTTTTTTTTTTGTCTGTGTGGTTAATTAAAAGTTGTGATTTTTTTGTCCATTTTTACTTTTAAAATTACGGTTTTCATCTCTGAAGTTTGTAATTCATTATAGCTTTCGTCTCTAAGGCTAAATCCATCAGTTATCTATACTACCTTATAAATCAAATTTATCAAAATTCAAATAATTTTTAATGCACAAAGTCTTAAAAACAATTCATAATTCATTAAGTACTACTAATTTATGCATTTGGTTTTAAAATCTCTTAATCTACAATTAAAATAACATATAGTACAAGTTATCAATGCACATTATTATTTTTTCTTTTCATGTTCCCAAGATACTTTTGATACATTTCGCTCATGCATTCACACTCTCATACCTCTACGTCTTCTCATATCCCCCAATGTGAGATTTAAACTGATATTCATCATGAGTTATTAAAAGTTCTATAATTCATCTCTCATTCAATTGCTCTAGAACTCTCGGTCTCGTTCATAATCTATTAATTATTTGCTCTTGGTGTAAATCCCTGAATAATCCCCCC